CCGAGCGGGGAGGGACAGCCCGGCGTGGGGACGGGCCGTGGTCGCGCACACAGGGACTACCACGGTAACCAGGGGTTTTGCTGCGCTGAGTCGGAGCTGTCAGGGTGAGAGGCTGTCAGTAAAGGTGAGCTACTCGCGTTGTCACCAGGATGCTGCTGTTCCATTATTGCCTCCTTCAGGCCGCACGACCATCCTTCAGGTGGTGTCACATCCACCTTCCGTTGTCAGCAGCAGCAGCTCCACAGACTCCGAGAGCGCTGGTTCACCGGGAGTTGGCGGTGGGATTCCAGGCCCCTGTCCCACACGGATCACATCCTTTCCTGTGCTGACATCCAACCTTGCTGGTACCCAACGCCCGGTTTTCCCTGGGAGCCTTCAGAACCCATCCGTGGGGTGCACTCAATCCAGCCTCACCGCGGAGTGTTCCAGTTCCAGAATCTTGGGTTCGCCCAACATTTGGGTCAGTTATTTTCAGGGGCTGTGGGCTGCCGAGTAAATCAAGACCAATTTGAACATTCAGTTATAAGTTTTGCTGAGAATCTGGGAATCCTATCCAGGTCAAAGTTAGTTTCTGGAGAGAGGTGATGAAAGAGAGATTTTAAAAAATAAATATATAAAAACTGTATTCCTCCTCATGGTATCTGGGCTTCTAAGCGAAGCTAGAAGTGGTTTCTGCTGCTTATGAAAAAGGCTTCAAAATTATGATATGTAGTTGTCTTTTACTGCACATGTGAAGCGCCTGTTTGGCATTCTGGTGCCAACTACTGTTTTAGAAGCTAGATATATGTCAGTGTCAGCAAATTAGGTGACCATGTTAGAGTCCATCCAGGCTTTAGTAAATTTTACTCCAAGCCTAGCCTAAATTTTGGGAGGGCAGTGAATCCCAGGATATTGTCCAGATATGTGGTCCTGAGTGAAGATTTTAAAGGATGATAATAGCGCATGAAGGGTTTTTGAAAATTAATGCTTCCTCATTTTAAAGGTAAAAGTATTATAACTAAGACAGTCCACTGTGTTAATAAAGCTGATAGAACTGAAGTCTCCAGATTCACTATAGGATACTTAGGTAAAATATGGTATTTCAGGAATTGTATTTTGAGAAACTAGGGAGAAGACATGTCTCACTTTTGTAAACTCTGAAATGATTTTCTAATTATGGGGTTTATACTATTAACAGGAAAAATTATCACATGTAACTTAAAAAGCTTTTAGTATCAATAAATATTTGCTTCAACATCACCTATAATGCCAGACATGAGTTCCATGTTTGGATACATTATTATTTAATCTATTAATCAGTATTTAGGTTTTCAATTCGTTTGTGTTATTCATTGAACAGACACATGGTTTTCAGAGCAGCCAATAGGAAAGGAATGTCTATATTTGCTCAAAATATCCCAAGTTCGAGATTATGTCAAAGTCATTAGGGCTGGAGGGGTTAGTTAGCTCAGTAGCTTGGCGCCTGCCTGGCAAGTGCAAGGTCCTGAGTTTGATTTCCAGTACTGAAAAAAAACAAACAACAACAAAAAAGTCATCAATGGACAGATGGGTAGCATTTCATTCTTTCCTGTTCTTTTTGATGGGTCCAAGACTAGTTATCTTTTACTAAAATGTTTGTGGAAATTTCTCATAGATGATTCCTGGAACTGCAAGATACTGCCTCTTATGACTTCTCTCTTTCAACTTTCCCTGTTTTGGCCTCATAGTTTCTACTCTTTCCCAAGAACAGTGGAAAATGAACAAGTTCAAAGTGAGTCATTTATTTAGCCTTTCATTTCACTGTGTGTGTGTGTATGTGTGTGTGTGTGTTTAATAAGTGTTTTGAAAGAGAGTCTACATATTAAACTAGAAAAGTAGATCTGGGCTAGTGGTGCATGCCTGTAATCCTAGCTCTGGGAAGCTGAGGCAGGAGGATCATCATGAGTTCAAGGCCAGCCTAGACTACCTAGTGAGTTCAAGGACAGCCTGAATTATGTAGTGAGACCCTGTTTCAAAAAAACAATAAAGGGCTGGGGATCTGGCTCAGTGGTTCTGGCACCTGCCTTGCAAGCACAAGGACCTGAGTTCCATCCCCGGTACCAAAAAAAAAAAAAAAAAAAATCAAAAAAACAATAAAGCAGGACTGGGGATTTAGCTCAGCGGTACCAACGCCTTTCTCCTAAGTGCAAGGTCCTGGGTTTGATCCCTGGTACCCTCCCCACCAAAAAACCTAAAAAAGTGGACAGTTAAAAATCACACTGGGAGAAAATACTGTTGAATAAACAGCAACTCTCCACAAGTGTGGTCTGCAGAGCACTGAGAATTCTAAGACCTCCTTGAGGGGTCTGTGAGGGCAAAACTCTTAATAATAAGGTGCAAATTGCCTTTTGCCCTGCTGGTATGAAAGCAGTGGTAACAGAGATTGCTGCCTGTATGGCATGAGTTAAGACAATGACATCAATTTATTGTTATTCTGTTCCTGTAAGAGACTCAAGTAAAAAACTTAAGGGGCCAGGAATTTAGCTCAGTGGTGCTGCTGCCTGTCTCACAAGCACAAAGTCCCAAGTTCGATCACTGGCATCAAAACAACAACAACAAAAATAAATTTCTTAAGGATATCCTTAATAAAACAGTAAAAGTATAAATTTTATTAAATCTTGACCCTCGAGTATACATCTTTTTAATATTCCATGTGACAAAATGGAAAGGTCACATAAAACCCTTCTGTTGCATCCTCAACTGTGATGGTTGGTTGTCACAAGAGCAAACATTTGTTTGACTTATGCACATGCATTGCCACTTTGTGAATGAATACTTTTTTTTTTTTTTACTTGAAAGAACAACTAGTGGATGAACTATGGTTATTCACACTTGTATATGTAACATTTTCTAAAAAGTGATGAAGTGAGCCTGCCAGTTTAAGGAAAACAACTTGTTGTTGGTTTGTTTTCAGTATTGGAGATTTGACCCAGGGGCATAACTACATACACCCTCAGTTCTTTCTATCTTTTGAGACAGGTTGTCCTGTTGTCCTAAGTAGCACAGGCTTGGCCTTGAACTTGAAATCCTTCTGCCTCTGCCTGCCTTGGTGTTAATATTACAGGATGTGGCAACCACACTCAATGGTATTCTTCACAACCATTAAAATTTGAGCTTTAAGGTGAAAATAGCAATTTTGGAAAACTTGTGTCCTCCATTGTGAACTTGATTGACATTCTCCTACTAAAGGCTTTCTTAGGAAGAATGGTGTTGAAACTAATATAATAATATTATAATTTGAGAGGATGGAACAATATAAATAAGTGAGCAACAGGCTGTAGGTTTATTAGGGAATACTGTTCTGTAAGTGTTTGAGGAAGTCCTGAATTAAATGAGAGGGGAAGCCAGGTAGAAATCTAGGGAAAAGCACTCCAGATGAGAGGAAAAGCAAATACAGTCACTCAGGCATGTTTCAGAAAGAGTATTCATACTTTGAGGATAGACAAGTGACTTGGGGGAGGCTGCCAAGAGTTAAAGTGATGAAGCAGAGGACCTTAAGAGATATAGGACCATATAGGATATACAATTTTGAATTTTTATTTTACTATTTAAAAATTTGAAAATTATCCTTTATACAAAGGAATGAACTAATGTATATATACAACTTAGAGAATATTAAGCTAACACTAGTGTATCTTTTCATGCTTAAGAAGTAAAATTGAATACCTTTGAAGCACATGACTGCCCTTCCTTGATGTTATACCTACCATTACCCAGAGAAAAGGAACACTGAATTCTGTAACCACTTCATTTACTTTTTGTTTTATTTATTTATTTATTTATTTATGGAATTATGAGACAGGCCCTTGCTATGTAGTTCAGGCTGGCCTTAAATTCACTGTGTAGCCCAGGGTGTCCTTAAACTTGTAGCAATCCTCCTGCCTCGGCCTCCCAAGTACTAGGATTATAGGTGTGTACCACCACCACAGCTGGCTCACTGCCTTTAAAATTTAATTATTTTTTTAGCAGGGATTAAACTCAGGATCTTGCACTTGCAAGGTAGGCATGGGCACCACTGAGCTAAATAAATCCCCTGTCCCTAAAATTTAATTTTTTACTAATAAAGTGTGAGTATCAATTAAATGCCCAGCCCTCTGGTAAGCTATAATCTTTGCACATAATCCTCACAGACACCTTTTGAAATGTTATCATAATACCATAAATTTTAGACTTCATCTTTTTATTAATACAGGATCACAGCCTTTAAGTGTGTTGGTGGAAAGAAAGACACTAGAAGGAAGGAGAAAAAATAGGAGGGAGCTAAAATTTAACCTGTTGAATAGAACTTATTAAAGCAGAACCTGCAGTTCTCTTTCAGTCATTTTTTTTTTGTACCAGGGATTGAATTAGGACCTTGCACTTGCCAGGCAGGCACAGAGTACACTGAGCTACATCCCATGTTTAAGTCATTCTTGAACATAATTTTATCTTTAATGTGACATCTTCCTTATCCAGTATTCACTGAGGAATTCACATGATGTTTTCCCTGGCTTAGGGTCTGAAAGTAATTGGTGAATGATTTATGACAGTAGAAACAATTAATGAGCCTCTTTTTCTTTTTTTGAGAGGCCACTTCAGTCTGTTGCCCAGGCTGCTCTCTGACTTCTGAGCTCAAGTGATTCTCCCCTCTGAGCCTCTTGAGTATGCGACTATGGGACCCCGTTCCTCTTCTGCAGTGAATCTGATTACAGATGACATTACCAAGCCCTCAAAATTTTTGTTTGATGCAGACATTGAAATTTTTTGTGTCTTCATAGCCTTTTTAGCCACTATAGATTTCTTTTATTTTTCATTCTTCCATCTCTCAACTTCTGTTAGCATGACTTTCTTCTGCATGATACTGCTATTATTTTGTTTGTAGGGACAGTTTGCTGGTAGAAACCTTGATTTTGTTATCTAAAATATTTATGAAAATTTCTACTGTGTTTTGAAAATATCTCTTTTACCAACCGTTAAGCCTATTTTATATTAGCTTATTAGTAGAAATTACAATATGCATGTTTCACTTCTTCAGTATCTTCAAATAACAAACTATTTATTCATAAGCAGTGAAATAAATTTTCAATAGTATAATTCTCTTTACATTCCTTCACCGTTTATAGGTTTGTTTTATAACTCATTTCCTATTTTTTAATTCATTATATTGGTACATTTTTGGTATACAGTATAATGATATCCATCATTGGAAATTTGAACATTTACATAATATATCTTGGTTCTTAATTTTTATCTATTTTGTTCCCCTCCCTTCAACCCCTCCAACCCTCCCTAATGACAAAGTCTCTGTTTCCATTTTTTTCATTTTCTCATATTAATTCCATTCCCTTTTTTCCTTTCCCCAACCCCTCCCACTTCCTTTCCCCTTTGCCCCTTTTCTTCGTATTTCACATTATCTGTTATACTTTTTAGTCCTTATTTACACTTTTAGTTTCTCACACCAGAGGAACTATTTGGTAGTTACACATGTCTTATTTCACTTACGAGTATTGCCTCAATGTACATCCATTTAGCTATAAATGTCTCTGCTTTCTCATTCTTTATGGTTGAGTAGTACTACATTTTATTTAAAACACACACACACACACACACACACACACACACACATACACACACACACACATTTCCTTTATCCAGTCTCCAGTTGATGGGCAATTGGGCTGTTTCCCAGTTTTAACTATCACAGTCTGTGCCGCTATGAACGTGGTACATATATATTGCTGTGGTATGATTCTTTTCATTCTTTGGAGAAGATACCCAGCAGGGGAATAGCTGAATCAAATGGGATTTCCAATCCTAGTTCTTTCAGGTATCTCCATACTGATTTCACAGTGGTTGCACCAGTCTTCTCTCCCATCAACAGTGGAACAGGGTTCCTCTTTCCCCACAGCCCCACCAGCATTAGTTATTGGTTGATTTCATGATAGCAGCCATTCTTTCTGGAGTGAGGTGGAATCTCAGTGTTGTTTTTATCTGCATCTCCTGAATGACCAGTGATGTTGAACATTTTTATGTTTATTTGCTATTTTTGCTTCCTTGTCTTAGAAATGTCTGTTCATATGCTATTTTTGGATTGGGTCTTTAAATTTGAGAGGTCTGATCTTTTTTAAATCTTTATATATTCTAGATAGTAGACCTTTGTCTGAGGAAGAGCTGGTGAAAATTTTTCCCCACATTGTGGATTATCTTTTTGCATTATTGGTTGTTTCTCTTGCTGTGCAGAAGTTTTTTAATAAGAAGACATCCCACTTGTTGATTGTGCTAATTCACGGGCAACTGAAGTCTTGTTCATAAAATCTTTTCCTATACCAGTGTCTTCAAGAATTCTACCTAAGTCTCTTACAGCCAATTTAGTGTTTCTGTGTTAATATTTAGATCTTTAATGCAGTTTGATTTTAATGTAGTGCATGGTGAGAGACATCTTTGGAAAGTTGAAACCCAGTTTTTCCAGCATCATTTATTCAAGAGGCTTTCTTTTCTCCAGTGAGGGTATTTGGCTCCTTTGGCAAAGATCAGGTGGCTCAGTGCATCTGGAATTGTTTTTGCATCTTCTAGTCTGTTCCACTGGTCCTTGGGTCTGTTTCTTTGCCATGCTATTTTTGTTTTTGTTTTATCTAAGTAGCTTTGTAGTATAGTTTCAAGTTAAGGATTTTGATACCCCCTACCTTCTCTTTATTGCCAAGAATTGCTTTTGGTACTCTTAAGTTTCTTCTTCTTCTCCTTCTTCTTCCTCTC